CCCAGGACAGTCTGGGGCTGTTTTTAGGCTGTCACCTGTGGTGCTGCCCAGCACTAATGGGCACCGCGGGGCCAAATGGAGCTTGCTGAGAGCCTCGTTGCTGCTGGCACCGTGGGCCGGTTCCGGATCCGAAACGTAGCTGAATCCACGAGCAGCGCGGGCGGTAGGAGCCTCTCCAGCCGCTGCTCCAGAGAGCTGCCCCGCAGGGCGCTGTTTTCCAGCAGGAAGCCACAAAATGCCAATTCCAATAGATTTTAAGTGGGAAAACCTGTGGTTGCAAGAGATGCGGTGAAGCGACGGGAGGCCACGCTGTCCCAGCGCACTGAAAACAGCCCGTGCGAAGGTTACGGAGCCGGCGCGCCCGGTGCGGGAGCGCTAATCCCGACGATCCCCCGCAGCCTTTCTGCTGCGCCGCTCTGATCTCCCTGGCACAGAATCCGCGAGCGGATTAGCCGGGCAGCAGCAATGCCGATAAGCAGGGGGACTTAAGGCTTTTGGACTCCTTTTTAATTAGGTCTATAGTGTTTTTTTTTTCCTTTTTTCCTCCCTTGCCAGCGCTTCCCGGTGTCTTTGGGCTGGCAAAGGACCCTGTGGGCTATGGGAGAGCTGAGCATGTCCTTGACACCTGGAGCAAATGGGGCTAAGTGCGGATTGACTCTGTCCCCCTCCCAGGCCACGAGCTGCATCCACGGCCCATCCCGGCCTCCAATAATTTTGCAACCCTCTGATTTAAACAGAAGGTCCAAAGGCTCCTCCTTCCCATGCAGGAAAGTGGCGGGGACCCCCCTGCTTGGCTCCCCATCTTTTCAAAGCACCGTGGCAAAGGCGGCTCTTTCTGTGCTGTTATTTGCAGCCCGGGTGAGGCGAGGGCAGCGCTCGGGTGAGCCCGGCGCCAGCTCCCGGCCTAATTGCTGCCTCTCTCCCCTCCCGGCACTCGCTGCCTAATTAAAGGCACCGTCCGGCTGCGAGGACGGGCGGGAGGGGGGACGGCGCCGCGCGATGCTCCGCAGCCGGACGCTTCGTCCCCTTCGGTCCCAGTGTTTTCAGCTGGGCGCCGGGGCAGCGTTTCCTGGCCAAGCCTTTAATTTGCTTCAGAAATTGCCAAATGCAGCACGAGCTGCATCCCCTCCCATTCCCAGGGATGCAAATAGGAGATGAGGCTGGTGCCAAGGCTGGAGCAGGCAGGAAGAGGCTGATGAAGGGGCAGGTGGCACCGAGGTAGCACCAATGGAGCAGCCAGCAGGGCACAGCCCCCTCCACCCCAGATTAACAAGAACTGGGATTTTTTCAGCAGATTTGCTCTGATTTTCTCCATGGTTCCCACAGCCCTGGCTGTCCCTGGGGTCCTGGGGGGGGTGTCACCGTGGGCCCGGCCGGTGCCAACCCCTCTCGTGTCTCGCAGCGGCGCTGGGGACGCTCGACTTCAGCCTGCTCTATGACCAGGAGAACAACGCGCTGCACTGCACCATCAGCAAGGCCAAGGTAGGGACCCTGCCACGGGAACGGCCCCGCATCCCTCCCATTCCCGCGGGAAAGGTGCAGGAATGGGCTCCCACGGATGGGCCCAGCCGTCCTTTCCTGCTCTTCCCTCCCTCCCTTCTCCTGCAGCTCCGGATCTGCTGCCCGGTGGTGTGGGAGGGAAGAGCTGCCCCTGGCCTCAGCAGCCGCCTCCATCCGTAATCTGATTTTGGGGAATCGATGGGTGAGAAACGAACCCCCTGCGGGGCCGGAAGCCGATGGACCACAACGGGCTGGCCGACCCCTACGTGAAGCTGCATCTGCTGCCCGGCGCCAGCAAGGTGAGCTGGGGCCTCCGTGTCCCCGCGTCCCGTCCTGGCCTCTTGGCAAACATGGAAGTTGCTGGGGGAGCGGGTTTTGGCTCTGCCCCTGCCCAAAATGGGGGTCTTGGACCCCCCATTCCAACCCCGTGTCCCCCCACATGGGCAGGCGAACAAGCTGAGGACCAAGACGCTGCGCAACACCCTGAACCCCACCTGGAACGAGACGCTCACCTACTACGGCATCACCGACGAGGACATGATCCGCAAGACCCTGCGGTAGGGCCCGCTCCGGGCTTTGGGGGGCTCCTTGCATGCGTTTTGGGGGGATTTGGGGCCTTTTGGCCTCCGCGGGGCTGAGCGCGGGCGCACGGCTCTGCCGTCTCCGCGGGCCGCGGTTTCCCACGGAAAGCATTAGTCATTCCCAGAGCGCTGCGTGCGGCCGGGCTGCAAAGCCGCTGCTGTATGAGCAGTAGCGGTGGGAAATTTTCCCTTTTTTTTCTGCATTATTTATTTATTTTGACTCCGGCCTTTGAAGTTCCGAGGCTCCTGGTGGCTTTGCAGCAACGCTCGGGGTGTTCCCGACGGCTTCTTCTTCATCTCTGGCATCTCTCCCAGGGTGGGTCAGGAGCCCCCTGGGCCTTCCCGAATTGCTGCAGGGCAGGGAAGGAAGCAGGAGCCCAGGAATCCCATGCCCATTGCATATTCATGGCCAGGAATGGTGCTGCTGCCCCCAGACAGCCCCTCGCTGCCCCTGTTTGCAGTGGGGCCGGGTGGCACCTGGGGCCCTCCCGGCTCCATCCCCCTGCGCAGCAGATGGGTGCTGGGTTGTGCTGAGCGGCACCGGCTGCTCCTCGTCTGCAGCGGCTGCTGCTCCTTTTTTCCTTTTTTTTTTTTCCCTCTCTCGCTGTTGTTCTGCTAAGGAAAGAGGGAGCGAGGCGGAAGGAAAACAGGCAATATTGTGACTGCCTTTCAGAGCCTCCTTGAGGATTTCGCTGTTCTGTCTTTTTGGTTTTGAGCAGGTCTCTTTAGCAGCGCCCACACCCTGTGCAGCCGCGGGGACACCCCAGTTCCCCCTCGCTGCTTCCCGCAGGGTTGGTAGCAGCAGGAGCTGGGGTGAAATCGCATCCCTTGCAGGAGGCCACAGGGGCCCCTTGTCCCTCCTGTGCCCCTTGTCCCATCCTGCGGGGGCCTCACGTGGCCCTGGCTCCTTGCAGGATCTCGGTGTGCGACGAGGACAAGTTCCGGCACAACGAGTTCATCGGCGAGACCCGCATCCCCCTCAAGAAGCTGAAGCCCAACCAGACCAAGAGCTTCAGCATCTGCCTGGAGAAGCAGCTGCCGGTGAGCGCGGGGGCCGGGGTCCCGCGGGCCGGCCCCGGGCCGCGCTGAGCACCGTCCCCTCCGCAGATGGACAAGACGGAGGACAAGTCGCTGGAGGAGCGGGGCCGCATCCTCATCTCGCTCAAGTACAGCTCGCAGAAGCAGGGGCTGCTCGTGGGCATCGTCCGCTGCGCCCACCTGGCCGCCATGGACGCCAACGGCTACTCCGACCCCTACGTCAAGACGTGAGCCTTCCTCCCCGTCCTGTCCTCCCCATCCTCATCCTCCCCGTCCTTGTCCTCCCTGAGCGCCCTCAGCCCCAGCTGCTGCAGCAGCTCCATGGTACAGGTGCCCCTATGTGATTTTGAAGGGGACAGTGAGCATCAACCTACCCTGCACACCCTGTTTGGTTTTTAATCCTGAGCCCATCAGGAAAAACCTGGCAATGAAGCAGGGCTGGTGCTCAAAGGAGCAGGGACCTGGGGGTCTTCAGCTGCTCTTTGGACCCACGGCACCTCCTGGCCCCCATGAGCTGAGCCCCCTGTGTGGTCTCCTGGTAGGTACTTGAAGCCGGACGAGGACAAGAAATCCAAGCATAAGACGGCGGTGAAGAAAAAGACGCTAAACCCCGAATTCAACGAGGTGGGTGCCCTCGTGCAGGTGGGTGTCCTTGTTCAGGAGGGGGTCTTCATGCAGGTGGGTGTCCTCAGGGACACTTTGCAAAGAGCAGGTGCTGGCTCCGTGGTCCTGCCGACGGGGATGTGACCACAGATGCCATCCCGACGTGCATTGTGTCCCCCCGGCAGGAGTTCTGCTATGAGATCAAGCACGGTGACCTGGCCAAGAAGACCTTGGAAGTGACCGTGTGGGATTACGACATCGGGAAATCCAATGACTTCATAGGTAAGCGGGAGGGACCATCAGGGACATTTGGCCCCTGCTGCCACACACAACCTGCCCGTTCCTGGTTCCCGATCCCTGCTCCAGCCGCCTCTCTTTCCATCCCCATGTGCCCGCTCAGGTGGCGTCGTGCTGGGCATCAACGCCAAGGGCGAGCGCCTCAAGCACTGGTTCGACTGCCTGAAGAACAAGGACAAGAAGATCGAGCGCTGGCACACGCTGACCAACGAGCTGCCGGGCGCCGTGCTCAGCGACTGAGGTGGCCCCGGGGCTTCGCCAAGGCTCTCTGTGCCCAGTTGCACACACACCCCCAAATCCAGGAGCGCGCATGGATGCATACGTGTGGGCACACATGCGTGGATGCATACCCATGCACACACCCATGCATGCACACGTGTTGACATGTAACCGCGCACACACATGCACGTGCGTGGATGCACAACCATGCATGCACACATGTGGACACGCACCCACGTGCATGCACAGTGCACCTGCGCATACATGCATGCACTCACACACACACTCACACACCCCCACGAGCCTGCATGCACCGAAACGCCGACGTCCTCCTGACTCTTGGCTGTCCTGAAGTGCCGCCTTGCTGCCTTGCGATGATTCAGTGGCAAAACGAAAGCCCCGTGTGCGTCTGTGTCCTGCTGCCGGCGGGAGCCCAGGGCGGCGGGCGCCGCGGTCGGGGCGACGCTGCTCCCCGGCACCGTCTCGCTGCTACCCCGGGACGGCGCAACGGGGCCGCATGCAGCTGCTCCCGCTGCCGGATGCGATTTTCCCCCGCTTGACCCTCCCTGTGTCCGTGCGTGTGCGTGTCCATGGGGCCTTCGGGGAGCACCCGCATCCCCTGGAAGCGACTTTGTTTTTTTTTTTTTTCCTTCTTTTCAGATGTTTTTCCATTTTTTCCAATGTTTTTCCAATGTTACGATAGTGCGACACTTTGTTTGATATAGGGGGAGAGGGCAAAACGACACCCCGTTCATAGGGTCTTTTTTAATGACTTTCTCTTTGTAACGCGTCCTACAGCTATGCATGGGTCCGGCTGGGACGCCGCGGCGGCGACTCCCTCCCGGGGGACATTCCTGGGGTCCCCGGCACGCGCGGGTGGCTGGATTCGCCCCCTTTCTACCCAAATCCCTTCTCCTCGGCACCGCGGCCGCGCTCCGTGCTCGACACCCGCCCCGCGCTCCCGTGTGACGGCTGCCGGAATCGTCCTCTCGCCTCCTCCTCCTCCCCGGGTTTTGTATTCGCAGTATTACCGAGCTGTGTCCTTTTTGTCACGTTTGTTAATATTTATAACGAGAACCCCAAATAAAAAAGGGAAAATAAAAATAAAAACCAGGAAGCTGTTGATAAGGTGCTGGCGTCCGGCTGCGTCTCGCGACGCGGGAAACCGCCCTCGGCGAAGTTTAATATTAGCCTTTGTGCTAAAAACAGGCGCTTTTCTAGTCGCCTTTAGCAAAGGGCGTTTGGATAAGCAGGGACAGGGCCGCTTCCCGGGCTCTGCATTGTTGCTGCACCTACACACTGTGTATATATGTATACATATATGTATATATGTACATATATACATGTGTGTGTGTATATATATATACACACACGCACATATATATGAAATACCTATACATACACAGACACACATACACTATACGTATATACAGAGTACATATTTTATATATATACACACACTATATAAATATATAAAATATATATGCATACATATTATGTATATATATATGTGTACACACATACGCGCACACACGCAGGTCAGACTGCTATATGCACAGATGCTGGTATGTTCATATGTGGTAACTTTATTTTTAGTGTGTGCATGGGAGCATGCCTACGTGTGTGTGTACATACGTGTTCATGCTCTTCAGTCAGGCCTTGTACATACATGTGTTTGTGTGTGCACACTCCTGGGTTAAAGGGGCGCCGCGGGGAGGCAGCCTCCTTGCCCAGCGCCGTGAACCCGCTTTGCAGCCCCATCTCGCTGAGAAGGTCCCAGTCCGGCCCTGAAATCGGCCCCGGGGCTGCTCAGCGGTGAGGGACGCCGGCGGAAGCGGGTCGGTGTCCCCAGCGGCTGCAGGGCCCGGCCTGGGTGCTGGACACAGGGAGCTGGCAGAAACCATCTCCCCTCCTGCTCCCCTAAGTGCTGAAAAATGCCATGACTATCCCCAAAATCACCGTGGCGAGAAAGATGCAAAGCAGCATGTATTATTTATCTAAAGCAACAAGAAAAGGCCATAAATTCACTGATTTTCCCCCCAAAAGGCTAAGATCAGGCTGCAAAAGGCCCTAAGACACAGGTCTAACAGAGCCACTATACCCACGGAAAGCAGAAGCTGCCGGAGCCTTGGGGACAGGGCGCCCAGGCGACGCGGCCACCTCAGAATAGGTTGTTTACCTGCACCAGCTGCAAATCCGCCTTGGGAGCACCGTGCAGGTTATGCAAGAAGCAGAACACTTGTACAGGCAAGAGCCAGGAAATAAATGCACACAGAAACCCTGTAAGATTTTTCTTTTTTCAAATTCTTCTATCTTTAAAACCACTGTCAGCAGCTTACCTGCCCTCATAGGCAATTATCTCCCCCATTTAGGCACTAAACTCTTCAATCGCTCTCATGATTGAGGCTGAGCTGCAGGAAGAGCAGGTTTCAACGCCCGCACCTGGCTCTGCAGTTCTGTTTCTGCAGTGAATGGCCCATAGAGGCGATCACAAAACTCGCTCCCGCGCCTCTGTCCACACTTGGGCACCCCTTTTGTTTTGCAACGAGAGGGACGAAGCGTTAGGAGCCGCTCGCCTTCCTGCATTGCTGCTACCCGCTGCTATCCAGGCTGTATAAGCAGCTGTGAAGAGCGTTGGACTGGCAGGGATTATTGGGGGATTTTAGCATCCAAAGTTTTCTTCCCTACGCATTTGAGATCCTCTGCGGTATTAACTAAAAGCTGTGAGAATTGCAGTGTGACAGGTACAGGGACTGAGAAAAAGGTTGAAGAGAAGCAGCAGCTTTGTTACCACTTGTTGTCACTTGGTAAGCTGTGTCAGGTTGTGAGAGGCCTCAAAAAAAAATATGTATATATATACATCAGTGCACAGAGCTGCACTGTGGCACTAGAGGGGGAAAATAGAGCCCTGCTCCGCTCCCATCCTGCTCCACATCTCCCCTTCCCTCTCCCCGCAAAGCAGCGCAGGCACCGGCGCCTCCAAGAGGAGAGCGGCTCCGTGCTGGGTCTTCATTTAACTAATTACCCTTCCAGCATTGGGGAAGCCAATGAGCAGGATTAGAGGGGCCCCTCCGACCATCTCCTTGCCTGTTACTGACTGCTCCTTGTCCCAATTCCTCCCTTCTGCCACCAGGATGACTCGCGCTGATGCTCAGTTCTGCCAGCGCAGCAGCAGCCCAACAAGGAGCACGGGGAGGGCACCGGGCACGCCGGGCTCCTCCACCAACACATGCCAAAACTCACTGCGTTGGGATTAGAAAAAGGGCTGGGAAAATGGTTCGGTCTGCTCACCATTTGGCTTGATAGATAAAATAGAGAACTCCAAGAAGCTGGGATGCCACATGTTGCAAACCAGGGTGAAGGATAATTAGGCATGTGCTGAAGTATGCCAGCCTCCTCCAGCCCCCATGCTGCTGCACTCCAACGGGTTTAATTACTCTTTTTAGTTAATCCAGTGAGCCTACAAAACAGGGCAATGCTCACAGGGAGTTGGTGAAATGAGAAGGAATGACCTTCACGTATTTGTCATGTATGAGTAACACGGCACTGAGGACAGACTCACACAAATGTGCCACTTCCTTTTCGCGTGCATTTGTCATTACTGTCTGTTCTGACCTTGCAAGTGACAACCTAGTGCCTTGGCACTGGGAACCACAGTTTGGTAGCAGCAGCTCCTACCCGTGAGCTTGGATCCTCTGTCTGAGGAAGCAGCCCAGCCCAGGCCGTGAGCCCCAGGGAGAAAACACCAACTGCCCTTACCCAGACAGAACGGGGCAATGCACAAGGGCGAGGGCTGCTGCCCAGGTGCTCACAGGGCCGTGAGTCAGGTTGCAGAACTTGAACTGTAACCCCCTTGTCGCTGGTGCAGCTGCAATATCACAACTGAAAAAAATTGTGTTTTACCAGCATGGAGGGACGTTTCTTGTCTCTGGAGACCTTCTGAAGAAAGCTCCCCCTAATCTGCCGGAGTTTGTTGCATCTTTGCTGGAGGAACTTTGTAGCAGCATCTAGTCATATACATAGTCCAATGGAAGGAGAGAGTTAAAACTAAGTAAAAATAAAATAAAATGCACACATGGCAAGATGGTAATCTCAAAACCTTTTACTGGTACTCTTAAACCAAATTAACTCATTTAATAGTTACAGATAGACAGAATTTCTGCACATGAAGCAGCACACACCTAAACCACACAAAGGCAGCTGAAACCCCAATGTTTGGCACCAGGTGCATCAGGACAATCTTCAAGCTTCCTATTCCGAAGTATCAATCACAAAAAAGGTCAAAATAAGAAGTTGTTGTGCCCATCTGAAAGCCTCATCCAAAGTTATACCTTCAGACTAAGCCTACCAAAAGTGTAGTTTGATTAAGCAGACAGGCATCTTAATAAAACTAACCAGATTTTGTCCTACTTTTGTCTGATATTTGCAGTGGAGGTACTGCTTCACTTGCAATCTTTGGATAACACTGGTGTTTTCTCATTAACTTTTTGTACAGCAATTAGTCCCACTAATCAGTCAAATCAGCCCAGCTTTAGATTACAAAAGTACTAAAAAAAGATAAAACAAGAAATTATCTTGTTAAATTTAATGAGCAAGGAAAAAACATACACCATGTGGGCTGTAACACAGTACTCCCCACTCCAGCACTGTAAAACTAAACAAGAACCTGAACAGTAAGGGCGGCCTACAGAACTACAATCATTTCATCCATAATACTGAAGACTGTGGAATGCAATAGAGCAAGAAATTCTTTTGCTTAGGAAAGCGTGCACCTACAGGAAAAAAAAACATCCAGCTTGCAAGGATGTTAAATTTGGAAAACAATTTAGCTTTGTAGTATTGTGGATACTGTCTTTGATACGTTATGATAGCACAAAAGTAAGAATTGTTTTAGAAAGTTAAACATTCGACTCTTCCCTGTATTTGCTGCTGCAGTTCTAAAGAAGATACGAGTGTTATAATTGTTTGTGTGGCCAAAAAAGGCCACAGCCTGTCTACTGGCCAAGTTGCAGTAAGCAGGTGATATATTAGAATTTATTCTCTGTCCATTTTCATCACGTAGGAGAGTTGCTCTGATCCAATACAATTACCCTGTAGGGGAAAAACAAACAAACAAACGGGAGTTACATGGTTGGTTTCTCCTTCTATCAACGCATGCGAGCTGAAGAGAATGGGATTTCACAGTGCCCCTATTGCCTCCCGGGCACAGAAACTGAGAGGGAACACACAAATGTTCTCATCTCTGCCAAAAGCCTGATTTAACTGCAAGAAGCTCACCTGAATGGAGAAGGCCAAGAGAGCCGACGCTGTAAGCGGAATTTCTGATCCTCATGATGTGGGTCTACAAAAACATGTAAATTCAACAGGGAACCAAGAAGAAAACAGAATCACACAACACTTCAAAGAGAAAGCTCTGATTTTGTGTGCACATTAGCAGCATGAAGAATCATGTTCCCTTTGCTAATCCATTAAGTTGCATTCGTAATCAGAAACCAGCCTCAGTTCTGTTGCTCTGTAAGGTATATTACCCAAGACCCTCTTTGTGATGAGAAAATATTCTCTCTTCAAAAGCTGAAGCCTGATCTTAATTCTCTAGAAGTATGATAGCAAAGGGGGCCTTATCTGCTAATGCTGTGCAACCAAAATCCTGAAAATGGAAAGCGACTGTCTTAATTTCTTCTTTTTTCTTTCCAGACGAAACACAAGCTCTTATGTATTTTTACAAAGCAGTTTTTAAGTGACAAATATTGACAATATTGGGAACCTTATAGTTGAGCTGCCAAACACCAGCCTTTTTCTTTTTTTTAATCAGGTGAGGCACAGGAATCTTTATCTGTTATCTTATTTCTTCCTTTTACCCTTGAATCTTGCCATAACTCAGCTCCCCTATGGGCAAAGATTTTCTCACTGATCATCCTTTATGAAAATAGGAAATTTTGACCAGAAGGAGATGATCTTTCTCCTTTTTAAGGTGAAAGGGCTAAAATGCCAGCTTATTTTTGATTCTTGAATTTTAGATGCTAATTCATTCTTCTTGTTCTGACCAGCTTCCTGTCCAGAGTGGCCTCCTCTCTTAAAAGCAAAGGGAAGAAACAGTACCCAAATGGCAAAGGAACCAGGAAAAGAACAAAAACTATTAAGAATTCTACTCTGTGCAAGCTCAGTAAGTTCAGTGCTAACAATACAATAAAAGAACTACAGCCCAGCTAGGCATCTAGCAGTTTTATAGATGAATAGGACCTTCTGGACTCCTGGCACAGCTTTCTGGATCTCTGCTTTCTCCCTTTGTTCTGCATTCCTTTACTCCATTCTTTATTCCACCATCTCCTGGATCACTCAGTTTTGCAGCCCTTGAATGACAGAAATTTGTATTTCATTGCAATCCTCTATTTTCCTTTAGAGAGACTGACTACAAAGCACTAAAACAGATATTAAACATCTTGCTTTTATGTTTGCCCAGACCTACACTGGGCAGCTTCACATACATGCGCACACATACACACCCAGACAACAGAAGTGCTTTACATTTGACTGACTGTGAAACAGCCTTTGGATTGCACCTTTCCTGAACACGGCTGTGTATATATTGCAGGAAACTACCCACACTACCAGTAAGATCCCGGTTATCACGACATTTGCCTTCTATATCCAAAAAAAAACCTGATGCCAAACAGAAGACTATTTTGTGTTTGCTAGTAAGTCCATACTGACATAGTGTGGAACCGTTCAGAGTTAATAGGTTTTGATCTTTGCTTCTAAAGGAAAAAAAAAAAAGTATTTGGGACATATACTCTTTTTCCTTAAAAAGTGATGACTGTATTATTTCTGCCGTTTTCTTCAGTACTACCTACGTTGTTATGACAGAGTGCAATTGTCTGCTCAAATTCTTCTCTAAAATCTTTTGTAAAGAGCTTTCATGATTCTGTTCTCCAAATATATGTTCTTCTTTCTTATTATCTCAAAAAATCCACCACTCTCGCAAATTATCTCTAATTTCTGTAAAGATGATGCACTACCTTCCAAGTCTATTGGAAATGTTTGCTTTCCACCTACAGAAAATCATCTCAGCATACTATTATTTTCCTTCTCAATTTGGGACTAGCAGCTCAGCCTGTTGCCTCCTGGGGAATTCCTACTTTGCTGCCTGAAGAACGGCAGCAGAATGTGAAGAATTTTCTAAAAATTCCCACATAGGCCTGTACACAGAACATAAGATGAACTTAAGAACAAAGTATCAATTATCGACTAACCTAGGAGTGTGCACTTGAAGTTCTTGTTTCTCCCCATCTTCAGGAACCGTATGACGCATTCTTTCTAAAATATCATCAAGAGTAGAATGAGCCCTGTTGAATAAAAGATTTAAAATGCATGCTGACAAGTTTAATATTACACATTTTGGAAGAAAACAAGCACAACCAGAGTCCTTAACAGAACTGACTTATTATAAACACGGAAACTTGACAAAATATACTGCAGCCAATATTCTAAAATTTCACAATTCATAGTCAAATCTGCCTCAGAAACGTCATCTTTATCAGCTTTGTCTTTTTCATACCTTTCTGTTTCCTCTGTTAGATTTAACGTCTCTTCAGTCCATAAGCTATGATCTCTCTTCTCATTCCTCTTAGTTTCCTTTTTTGCCTCTCCGTCTTCTATCTTAATTTGATCAGAAACTATTCACACAGGGGAAAAAAAAAAAGTATTTATAGTAAAGAAAATGTGGGTTTAGTTACTGCACTTGGGAAATTTCTCAGTTATTCTTTCACTGATCGTCTGATTTTCCACCAATCACATAAATTCACACTAAGTTAGAAGTGGTCAACAGCAAGATCTAGATAAATATTTTACTGCAGCACATTTTTAGATTCACAAGAGTGAACATTTTGCTTCATACTAAAACGTGGAAATTAATCTTTAATCTCTCCCCTTACTAACTTAGATATGGGAGAAAAATCAAAAGGAAACCTGTGGATGCTAGTTTGTTACCCTGTTTGGCAAAATCCAACAATATTCCCTCTCCCCCCTGCCTGGACTTATCTCTAAGTTCTGCTCCCTACAGCATGGGAATATATTCAGGCACCTTCTGCTAAGCGATGATAAGCAGGAAGCAGTAGGCTGTCACAAAAATGGAGTCTGAAATAACTGTACTTTATGCAAATACAACAAAACCACAGTGATTGAACAGTAAGCAGTAGAGGCTGCTGCATTCCTTACCACCTAAAAACAAGATACTCTTATGAATAAAGTCCAAGTCGCTTCTATCCTTTGGGTAACAACTTTAAATGGAAAGGATCTAAAAAAGCTGTAGGAGAACACAAACAAGGGCCAATATCATTCTCAAGTGACTATTCTATTTAGCTTTTGTACAAACTAACTCATGCTCTTCCACTTCACTTTCTGACTCACTGGAAACAGATGCAGGGCAGAGCCTCTAAAGAAAGCTGTAGCTTTTTTGCTCCTCTAACATTACTCACTGTCCATCCAAAAATGTCCCTCAAAAGCTTGTCATACAGCTAAACATACACCTACCAGCATTCAAGTAATTTTGCAATAATGCAAAAGGTGTTTCCTATTTATAATCTGTCAGGACTACTGTCAACTAACCTTTTACTGGCACACCACAGTCATGCAATGCCTCCTCTTTGAAGTCTTGAGTGGTGCAATCTTGCTGCTTCAAATATTCTGACAAAAAACAGCATATTTCCTTACTGATCTAGACATTCTTTTTAAGTTGACTCCATATCATTTAGGGTACCATCTTTCTTTATCTATCCAAACCTAGGTGATCCTGACCACAGTTCGTTCATTTGATGCCAGTCTCCATGTTCCTTGTTTTGGTAAAAGAGGAAATAAAGAGATCGGAACATAGGCCTGTGTGCCTCATTTCAAAACCAGCACTGGACCTATAGACACTTAGTTATTCAAAAAATGTGGTGCTTGCTTAGGATGAGTTTTAGCTGAACAACCAAGGTAAATTTTTCTGAAACACACACTAGTGAAAATAATGAGTTTTACACTGTGTTCTGGTCTGACGATCTACGCAATTACAACAAGAAATGTAAATCACAAGCTAAGATCTGCAAAAAACACCTGAATAAAGCAGTTACCCAGCCTGTATTTTTGTAAACAGAGAGGGAAAATTTTAGTCTACATCTACAAACTAACTGTTGTGTGAAATGCAGGAATTTCAAAAATTAACTGATTTTGGGGAGCCAGCTATTTAAGCTGTTGGTGCCTAACTTCCAGATCACAGACCTTACTGACTAAATTTGAAGCTCTTAGGTATTTTAGTAGTGAATGATTTGGGAGAAATCCTGACTGTACTGACGTACAGCCCTTGGCTTTAAAACACAGCTGGCAAAGCCTCATCCCATTTTGGGTAAAGTGCCTCTTACCAATTTCATCCAGCAGCTCTTGGGCTGGTGGAGGCAGCTCATCAGTGAAGTGGTTAGATGTCTGTGACAGTGCTGAGAGAGAAAATGTCTAGTTAATTAACAGTGATTAATCCCTAATAACTGTAACCTAAGTTTTGATTATGACAGCTTCTTACTGACATATTTCATTTATCAACCTTTCTGAGCCTGGCTCATTCACATTTTACCAAATGTCCTTAAATAATTTCAAAATGGAAAACTCATCTACAGCTAGACTTGCACATAAAGGTCTCAATCCTGAAATGCAAGTTTCAAGCCAGTAAAATTTATTTTTCACATGAAAGCTGAGCAGAACTCTGCGTTCTTAGGTTTTAGATTTTGTGTCTGCTCCTGTATCTAACAGTTACTAGTAATATACAATTATTGTACTGCTATTTCTCCTTATAAAGGAGGTGCTCAGGTGAAAAAATAAAGCTGTAAAAATTCTTTTAAAAGCTGAATGTTCATGTATAGACTTACCGAGTTCCTTCCTGGTGCTTCTCACAGATGAAGCAATTACTGACAACCTGCTCTGTGCAAGATCATACAGAATGAAACAAGGTAAACCAAACTTCTTCAATCCTCTTCTTTAACATACTAAGTTCAAAACAGCAAGTCCTTAAGCAAGCAGTAAACAGCTTACTAATTTTTAATTCAAGATGCTCATTCAGCTCAGAATATGAATACAGAAGTAGCATCCAGATAAGTCAGACGTTTCAAAAATTTTACTCTGATTACTTTTCATGAGACTTTTTCCTGGTCTTAAGGTACTGTTGGCAACATAAACTTTAACCATTAAATAATCTATGTGGAAAACCCGACCCAACACCTCAGAAAAGACAATTTTTGCATCTCTTAAGATTCCACTCTCTGTTTTGAATCTTTAATGTTAAAGTCAAGCACATCCATAAAAAGCAAGAGATTCCCCCATAAATCGAGAATTTGTAATCAAAAGCAAATTTTGCTCACTGCTTTCCGAAGGAACCCGTTGCCTCATACTCTTAACCAAAGATGAAATTTTAGACAAGAAAGTGAAATAATCAAATACCTCCACAGTGCCAGTCAAGGCAGCACAGTGCTTTTAATGGGCTTAATGAATGCCAGCAGTCTGCTGTGCAAGGTCAAAGCCACCGAGCTGCCCTGTCGA